ATCTTTTCATTATGTATATTTGTCCGAATAGTGGGGTTCTGTGTAGTTTATTTATGGAATCCCGCAAGATTTGATGTCATCTGTTACGGCGCTCACTGACTGACTGCGCCGCTGCGTGATGGCGCGGGGCTTGTTACATCATCCCGCTCTCGCTGAATTTCTGACCATTACCGCATGCTCCCATCCGCTCCTGCTATTTTTGTGTCCGCTCCCACAAACATTCTAATATTGTATATAATTTATCAGGGCGCCGCTATCAATATGTGGGGTATTTAAATCCCTTTTCAATGTCTTTTTCAGTCACAGTTCACTTTCACTTTCGATTTCGCGATCGCATGCGCACTGTGTAAAGGGAGCACGTCTTACGATAAAAGATGTTTGTCAATGAGCTCGGGATCTGTTGACGAGCAAATGCTTCAACATCTTGTCAGTTATCTCTCCTTACTTTTGACCCGTGATCAGTCAAATCTGACTTCTGCAGCTCGTGTTGGATGCAGGGTTGTTGTTGTTTTTATCCACAAAATTGAGCTGATTTTAAACGGTTGCCATGGGTTGATTTTCCCCAGTGAGTTAAAGGTTTGAAATATTGCATAAATTACATTTGGTTGAAATGCTTCTACTGAAACATTTTGCATTCAACCTGTAATAAAACTGTGCTAAATGTTTTGGGCCACAATAGTAGGAAGCATTTGAGCTGTGTTTATGATAAATGTGCATAACAGTGACTGCAAAATATGTATTTTAGGGATGGAAATTACATTTTTATATTTGGGACATGATAATTGCTCTACTTTGTTTTTTTTTGTTTTTTACTGGCATGGGCTTGGGATGCAGAATTAAAATAATGTAATAGTTGTGATCATTATTTGACCTTCCATTATCATTCAGACACGATCAGGTGCAGTACTGCCACTCTGTGAAGTCTGCATCAAATCAGGCACTCTGTAATCACAGCTAAACTGTCTGATCAGTCAGGTGTTTGTCATGAGAAGTGCTCCACAAAACAGCTATGGCTTGCAGACAGTTATAAGAGTTGATGTGACAAATACATCTTTTGAATATACCGTGTGAACTCATTGCCCCGAGTTCAATTGCCCCATTGCCATTCAAATGGCAATTGCCCCATTGCCATTTTATTTATCTCTTGTGCTTCGTTCCCCCCCCTTCTGAATTATGTTGTATTGATAAGGAGTTATCACAAAGTAAGTCTGTTTAGTTGTGCTATCTTACAATCAATATATAGTAAATGTAAGTTAACGTTTCGCCGATGTAACCGGTTAAAACTTGGAGTGGCGATGAAGTCTTAAAATGTATGGAAAGAGTCTTAAAAAAGGTCTTAAAAGGTATTACATTTAACTCCACGATTCCTGTATATACCCTACAGTCGTAATTTAAGCGAAGTGTAGGACTAAATCTTAAGTGTTGATTCACGACACTTTGCTGTGCCACAAATGGGATTTTGGATGACGAAATACGTATGGACCAATCACTGAATAGATTTCCTTATTTAAGAATATTCTAAATTCTTAATAGGAGTTTACATTCAACACATTTGACAATAAAGAATTTTCAAGCGAATACGTTATGGTAAGGAAACGAATCGTCATCACAACCTTCAATTTAGGGTTGTGCCGGTAGACGATAGTATCATGTATCGACGATAGTCAGAGTCAGAGATATCGCCTTTTGCTGATTTCTTTGACGACAGCAAGATGATTATTATTATTATCCGTCAAAAATATAGGCGCCTATCTTTAGTGATGCAGCGCGGAGAGCCACTTCAGAAACTTGCCACGGCGTGTGCAGTGTAAATAAGGGGTAAGAGATTTATTCATGATACAGTGTAGGTAGCTTTACTGATTATAAGAGTGTTTTTAAAGAGCATATAATACTTGCACTAGACTGAAGTCAGTTAAGATGTTCTTTGGTGATGTAAATATTCTTTGCTTGTTTCTGTTTGAATAACTGACAGCGTTCGTACACATTTTTACCAATAAATTTCCATGACTTTTCCATGACTTTTGAGACAATATTCATGACCTAAATGTTCCATTATTTTACAATAAGAATAAAAATCTGTTCAAATTATCATAGCATATGTTACCTAAAATGAATGACTATTAATGCTATTTGTTTGCTTTCTTGTTTTAGTAATAAGTACAAGCTGCAACTGCGCCAGACGTTACTCCACATTTCACATATCACATCACTGAATATTATAATTTATTTAACTGTGTGGCCAGGATGGCCATTTTGTGTGTATTTTTGCTGCTTAAATGCAACAAGCTGCGCTTTAGAGCCCTGCATTTCAGCCCGAGCCCAACGGCCCCAACTTATTTATGGCTTCGGGACAATTTTCACGTCATAGCTCAGACACGGGCCAGGCATCAGGCTTGCTTCCTCCTTATTTTTATATTTTAGATATCCATCAATTATTATGGTGATGACAAAGATTTGCCGCGCTGGTGGAAACAACAGGAGACCGTGCTACCGCGACTGTCAAGAGTGGCTCAGACGGTGTTTAGTGTCCAGCAGCAGCGAGTGCTGGAAGAGTTCCATGTTAAAGCGCACGCAAAGCTTGCCGCAAAACGCCAGCAAGCAATTACCATGATGAATGCCCCAGAGAAATAGAATATTCGCAGGGTTTCGGTTCATTTTTGTGAAGCGCTCCTGCTCAAGACCGAGACAGCAGAAAGCGTATCCTGTTTGTTTTCTAAAAAAGCACAACGTATGCTGATATTGTGAGTGCACACAAATAAAAGTAGACCCTTAACAGTCCCGAATGATGTATTACTCTTACCTTTATGAGCAAAAATTATCCGTCATTTTAAAGTCAAAAGCTGTGGGAATGAGTAAAACTATGCGATATAGCCTATGCGCAACCCCGCACCGAAATTCAGGACCTGATTAAACACAATTCTATTATACAGAGTTTTGTGAAATAGATTTCAATGACTTTTCCAAAACTTTCTGGGTTTATTTATTTTTCCAACATTTTTCCAGGCCTGGAAATTGGTGTTTTAAAATTCCATGACTTTTCCAGGTTTTTCGTGACCGTACGAACCCTGAACTGAGAAAATGTAACTGTTTGATTAACTGCTCGTCGTCAAATATTTCAAGAACATTCTTCCTCTCCTGAAAGATTCGCACATGTCTCTGTCTCCTCAGCGCCATCACAAGCCCCTACTGGCAACTCCTAACCACTTGAGAGACCCCTCGAGCTGTTTTAAATAACTGGGAGATTAAGAGTGATTCTTAGCTTTAAAAAAATTGATAACTTGCTTTTATACTTAAGTTTGAAAGTAGGAGTAAATTTAATGAATTCTCAGCACTTAAGACTAAAATGGCACTTTGAGAAACTTGATAAATACGGGCCAATTGGGAAGATTGACAGATGTTTGATGTGTTTGATCAACAGGATCAAAGTGTCATAACAAGTGTCATAATTCATAATAATCTGTGTGTGGTTCACTCTTGGTCATTATCAGAATAACAGCATCTGTTGATTGTGTCTCATCAGCTCCTGTGATTCTGGATCCAAACACTGCTCATCCACGTCTCGTTCTGTCTGGTGATCTGAGCAGTGTGACAAACAGCGAGAACAAACAACCTCTTCCTGATAATCCAGAGAGATTTGGCTATTATCACTGTGTTCTGGGTTCAGAGGGTTTTAACTCAGGAACACACTGCTGGGATGTGGAGATTAAAGAGAGTTTTTGTTGGAGTCTTGGAGTAACTGCAGCATCAAACCAGAGGAAGGGACATGATTTCTTTAACACTGGTGTCTGGAGTGTACAATATGAACTGTCTGAACTGTTTGGCGTTCGTGTTAAACAGAAGCTTCAGAAGCTTCAGATTCAGCTGAACTATGACAGAGGAAAGGTGTCATTCCATGATCCTGTAACAAACAAACATCACAAACATCTCAAAAACAACTTAACTGACACAGTCTTTCCATTCTTCTGTTGTTATTCCCCTCTGAGGATCTTACCGTTAAATCATTAGTAAACGTTTCGCCTGTTGATCTGGGTCCAGTGGCGTTACTTTGTTTTAAAAAGTGGGTGGGATTGGGGGTGGGGTTTGTGGGCTAATATGAGGCAATGTCAGAAACGTACAATAACAAATGCACAAAAAAATAACATCACAATGTCCTGAAATAAATTTCAGCGGTACATTGACTTGAGCTTATTGACATAGAACCAGGGCTGGAAATGGGGGGGCACACGGGGTGACGGAGTCCGGGGAGTGAATTTCGAGGGGGGACGGCGTTCCACTTCCAACTGCTTTCTTTCTTTCTTTTTTTTTTTTTAGTGAAAGTCTTGTATCGCAGCGTGCAGCGGCTCTTGTAGCGCAGACAAGAAGCCGTTTGAAGAGAAAGTCAAAGAGAGAAGACGCGTACAGCTGAATCACTCACGCTGTTTTCAAATGACTGATTTGATCAGTCTGTGTGGACTGGACTCAGTCTGTAGGTTTGATTATTTACTCATCAAACCTACATGCTATAGGCTATTGAACAAATGTGTGAATATCCGTCATTTTAAAGTCAAAAGCTGTGGGAATGAGTAAAACTATGCGATATAGCCTATGCGCAACCCCGCACCGAAATTCAGGACCTGATTAAACACAATTCTATTATACAGAGTTTTGTGAAATAGATTTCAATGACTTTTCCAAAACTTTCTGGGTTTATTTATTTTTCCAACATTTTTCCAGGCCTGGAAATTGGTGTTTTAAAATTCCATGACTTTTCCAGGTTTTTCGTGACCGTACGAACCCTGAACTGAGAAAATGTAACTGTTTGATTAACTGCTCGTCGTCAAATATTTCAAGAACATTCTTCCTCTCCTGAAAGATTCGCACATGTCTCTGTCTCCTCAGCGCCATCACAAGCCCCTACTGGCAACTCCTAACCACTTGAGAGACCCCTCGAGCTGTTTTAAATAACTGGGAGATTAAGAGTGATTCTTAGCTTTAAAAAAATTGATAACTTGCTTTTATACTTAAGTTTGAAAGTAGGAGTAAATTTAATGAATTCTCAGCACTTAAGACTAAAATGGCACTTTGAGAAGCTTGATAAATACGGGCCCTGAGCACTTACACACACACTGGAAATGATTAATTGGGAAGATTGACAGATGTTTGATGTGTTTGATCAACAGGATCAAAGTGTCATAACAAGTGTCATAATTCATAATAATCTGTGTGTGGTTCACTCTTGGTCATTATCAGAATAACAGCATCTGTTGATTGTGTCTCATCAGCTCCTGTGATTCTGGATCCAAACACTGCTCATCCACGTCTCGTTCTGTCTGGTGATCTGAGCAGTGTGACAAACAGCGAGAACAAACAACCTCTTCCTGATAATCCAGAGAGATTTGGCTATTATCACTGTGTTCTGGGTTCAGAGGGTTTTAACTCAGGAACACACTGCTGGGATGTGGAGATTAAAGAGAGTTTTTGTTGGAGTCTTGGAGTAACTGCAGCATCAAACCAGAGGAAGGGACATGATTTCTTTAACACTGGTGTCTGGAGTGTACAATATGAACTGTCTGAACTGTTTGGCGTTCGTGTTAAACAGAAGCTTCAGAGGGTGAGAGTTCAGCTGAACTATGACAGAGGAAAGGTGTCATTCCATGATCCTGTAACAAACAAACATCTACACACATTCAAAAACAACTTAACTGACACAGTCTTTCCATTCTTCTGTTGTTATTCCCCTCTGAGGATCTTACCGTTAAATCATTAGTAAACGTTTCGCCTGTTGATCTGGGTCCAGTGGCGTTACTTTGTTTTAAAAAGTGGGTGGGATTGGGGGTGGGGTTTGTGGGCTAATATGAGGCAATGTCAGAAACGTACAATAACAAATGCACAAAAAAATAACATCACAATGTCCTGAAATAAATTTCAGCGGTACATTGACTTGAGCTTATTGACATAGAACCAGGGCTGGAAATGGGGGGGCACACGGGGTGACGGAGTCCGGGGAGTGAATTTCGAGGGGGGACGGCGTTCCACTTCCAACTGCTTTCTTTCTTTCTTTTTTTTTTTTTGGGAAATCAAAATGATTTCTATATTTTATCCATTCAGTAGCCTATGAAAGCCAGAAATGCGAGAAGGGAAATGGTCCGCATTTTCGTGGCTAAACATAAGATAATGAGGTCAAGAAGTCGTCAGTTCCACATTGAGGTTGAGGATTGATTTGTTGCATGTATTATTCAATTATGCTTCTTTAAAAAACATCTAACGACAGAGCTGATACTTCTGCTGATCAAAAAGCCAACTAGGAGGACGACTGCAAGACTCATAAAATGGCTTCAGAAAAAGAGACTTCTAGCCAGGAAGATGTTGTGTCAGATATGTGGTCATGGCAAGAAGATGAAAAGACGACGCAATACATCAGATGGCTTTCACTGGAATTTTGTATTATTAGATTTGTGAATTTCCTCTGGAGCGATTCTATGCGACGCTATTTTATGTCAAGTATACGCAGGGGCGTAAATTTCGTCTAACAGTAGGGGGGGACAATAAACATAAAATTTCTCAAGAGCAATATTTGAAGGGGACACAAGGTGTAGCATATTTT